TATCATCACAATCATCTTTTAGAAGAGTCCTAGTGTGGTGCCGTAGGATAAGCACTGGATTGCTAACCGCAAGGTTGGTGGTTCAAACCCACCAGCCACTCTTCAGAAACCCTATATAGGGTCGCTATGAGTTGGTACTGACTTGATGGCACTTAACAACAACATATATGGATAGACATGGGTACATATAAAAGAACTGGAAGATCACACATCAAGATGTGAAGAGTGGTTAATTCTGGAGAGTGGAGGTATGGGGAAAAAAATGTCTTTTTTTTCTCTTAAATTCCAAGTTTATACTTTGAGCACAATTTAGTAGTTTTTAAAAGCCATTTTAAATAATTAGATTCTGGAATCAAGTTATTACAACATTATTCGCATTGCACAGTCTCTTCCATTTAGCTTATTGTTAACCCTATTGTGAACAGAAGCAGACCACTTTGTAAAACATGACATTTTACTTCTTACTTTTCTTTTAGGCATTCAACATTCAGACAGTATGTAAAATGTATTGGATATCGTCCTTAGTAAGAATAAAGGAAGTCCTCTGTCTTCAAGCAGGTTCCAAGCTAATGGCACAGACATGAAAACAGATCATTTTAATCAAGTGTGGTCAATTATATATGAAAAAGTTCTGCAGGAGCAGAAAGAATATTTTCACCAGTCTGAAAGATGCAATGGTAGAAGAGAGCCAAGTTACAGAAAAGGTGATGCTTGAGTCCAAGGCATGTATTTACTAAGAATGATGTTATCAGAGACTGGAATGAGTCACAAACAAGGAACATTTCTTAATATTAGGGCACAGTTTCAAAATCTGTTCATTGATCAATTTATTCAACAAACATGTTTTAAATACCAGCAAGCATTAAGCACTACAGAAACAATGGTAGCAATAGTTCCTGCTCTCACAGAGTTTCTATTTTAGTGAGGGAGAAAAGCATTAATCAAACAAACCACAAATAAATGTAGAATTCTAATTGTTATAAACGATGCATAGAAGAACCATATGTTGCTATGAAAGTAAATAACGGGGGAGGAGGATTTACAACTAGTCTAAGGAGGTCAGGGAACACTTTTCTGAGGAGTAATATTTTAACTGAGACGTGAAGAATGACTAGGTATTACAACAGGAAAGATGGGTGGAAAGAGTGTACCAGAGGTCAAGCTGTGCTCTGGCTCTACAGAAAGACTGAAGAAGGAACAGTACGGCTGTAGCTGAAATAGGAGGAGATGTGTAGGATGGATGAGGCTGGAGACCTGTTAGGAGCTAGCCAGTCTATGCAGGGTCTCAAAATCACTACTGAGGATTTTATCTTTATCCAAGGAGCAAGAAGACATTGAAGACTCCTGGTATGGCACTGTAGGATATGCACTGGATTGCTAACCATAAGTTTTGCTGTTCAAACCCATCAGTTGCTCCTTGAAAACCCTATACAGGGTCTCTATGAGTTGGAACTGACTCAACAGCACTTAACAACACAACCACCTAAGGTATAAATGGAGATAATTTGATCAAATATGCATTAAGATGGACAACTCTATGTGCTGAGTGTAAACAGAATTTTAAAAAAGTGGCCACAATGGAGTCAGAACCTTTGCAAATGGTTCAAGTAAGCAAAAATGGGGACTTAACTAGACTGATTATGATGGTGGTGGGAAGACAAGAATAGACTCAAGAGATACTTAAAAGCAACAATCAATAAGTCTTAATGATGAAATAGATGTGTGGACTTTTGTATATCTAATGAGTATTTTTGTTTGTAATGCCACAATCGTTGCCACGTTTGAGCCTTTGTTGCTGCCACTGTGCCAATCTATCTCATTGGATGGCTTCCTCCTTTTCACTGTCCCTCCACTTTACTAAGTATGATGTCCTTCTCCAGGGACTTCCGATAATACATCAGAAGTATGAGAGATGAAGTCTGGCCATCCTAACTTCTACAGAGCATTCTGGCTATACATCTTTCAACACAGTTTATTGTTTTGGCTGTCCATTTTATTTTTAATGTTCTTTTCCAACTCCATAACTCAAATGCATCCATTTTTCTATGGTCTGATTTATTCAATGTCCAACTTTCATATGCTAAAAATAGTTAACTGATGAAGATCAAATAGCATAATCTTCAGTATGGATTGTACCTCAGTATAAAGAAAACAAAACACAACTGGACTAACAAATATGATAAGTGGAGAAAAGGTTGAAAAGACTTCATTTTGTTCGGATCTACTATCAACACTCATGGAAGTAGCAGCCAAAAAAATCAAATGACATTTAGCCAAATCTGCTGCACAAGACCTTTTTAAAGTGTTCAAGAACTAAAGGTATCAGTTTGAGGACTAAGGTGCACCTGAACCAAACCATACCATTTTCATTAATCTCATATACATGTGAAAGTTGGGCAATGAATAAGGATGCCCACAAAAGATGTGATGCATTTGAGTTCTGGTATTGGATAATACTGAAATGGCACTTATCAACAACAACAACCAGAAGAACAAATACTCGGTCTTGTAGGAAGTATAGCCAGAATACTCCTTAGAAGCCAGGATGGTGAGACTTGGGTTGTCAAGAGGAACTTTGTTGTCAAGAGGAACCAGTCTCTGGAGAAGAACCTCATAGATTAAATAAAGGGTCAGCAAAGAAGAGGAAGACCCCCAACGAGATGGATTGGCACAATGGCAGCAGCAATGGGCTCAAGTATAACAGCATTTGTAACAACGGTACAGAACCAGGCAGTGTTTCGTTCTGTTGTGCAAGGGGTAGCTATGAGTCAGAAGGGACCTAACAACCATAACAAGAATAACAAATATTCTGATTTCTATTACTATTCTATTACTGTTGATTAGTTGTACTTGTTTTTGCACTTTATAAAAATAGGAAGTGGGGGATGGAAAAAGTGGAATTAGGCAGTTATGTATTGCTTTGTGTTTGCTTTCTTTCATTTAAGACTTATCCATGTAATACTCATGGTAGTATGCATCGCTGTGTAGTATTTCATTGTGTGAATATACCTCAATTTATCTACTGTCAACATTTAAACTATTCCCAGTTTAGGATTATTATTAATAAAGTTGTTATAAACATTCTTATACATGACTTTAGGGGACATATATACTCATTTCTGTTGGGTTTATAACCAGAAGTAGAATTGTTGGCTTAGTTTTAATATGTAACAATCACAGATCTTTCCAAATTGGAAATTGGATTTATCAATTTACATGCTCTCTAGCAGTGTATGAGAGTTCCAGTCATAGTAACTCCTTACCAATACTTGTAAGTCTTTGTAATGCAATTATAAACTTTTAAACTTCCAAATGGGTCTTTATTCTAGAAATTAAGAGCTCTGCTGGAATGAGGGATCCCGAAATGCCAGGATGAAGCAACAAACTCATGAGTAAGTCTGCAGCAGTGTCCAGTGTGTCCCTCTTACAAGGACAGAGACCAGAATCTGTGCCCAACCCACAGTCCTATCTTAGGGATTCTCAAAGGAATTCCAGACTTTTGTCCCCTGGGCTTCTGGGTCATTCAGGGCATTGTGAGGTAAGACAGAACTAGAACAGGCTTAAAAGGAAGATGACCCATTCACTGTGTGCATGTCTCTGAAGGTACAGGCCTGGACAAGTAAGATGGGACTGCCTTTCCCAAGGTGGCATTAGGGGTTAATGGCAGTGCCAGCTTCAGATGGCAGAGGACCCTGTCTCAATCTGGTTTTGGGTTCGGCTTGGAAAACAAATCCACATCTCCTTGTAGGCAAAACTTCAGATGGGCCAACAGAGCTCCCTGGAGGTATGAGGCCTGATGCCTGAAAGGACCAGCAGGTTAACTGGGCACTGACGCCTGAGGCTGGTCAGCCCCAAGCAAGAGCATCCTGCTTCCTTGAATGGTTTCTTTGCCCGAGGAAAGTGGTGGCTGGCACTCATATTCCGACAGGATCTTTTGAAAATGGAGGCAAGGGTGCCCCTGATAAAGCCCCCTTGTATGGATGGTGACCATTTCTGTCCACACTGGAATTACAAACCAAAAATGGTCACTCTCTTTCCTGTGGGTCAATCTGCCTGAATGGAGGAGAGGAAAGCTAGGTCCTGAGGGAGAGACCACCCAGCTATTCCTCAGTTTAGGACTGCCTGGGAGATGGAAGAAACCAAAATTACAGCGTGAGGCCTGTTTCATAAAACACAAGAGTGTTGCCTAGCCTGCAGGTCATAAAAATCCAATGGTGGCAAAGCCACCCAAGCCACCGTTAGGGAAAGGAAACTGAGGGGCAGTTGCGTTGGGGGAATAATAGGGTCAAATGAAATAGGGAAGGAGGGGTAGAGGATGGGATGGACAATGGAGACCGAAGGTGCCCAAGGGTGGCGAGAGGACAACCAGAGAGGGTGGAGGGTGATATGGGCTGGTTAGGTTGTCGTGGTGGTAAGGTCTGGCCAGTCTGAAGTCGGACCCCACCCTGAGAGGAGGGCGGTTTCTGCCTTTCTCCACAGCGTCCGGCCCATTACTACGGGAAAAGGCCAGTGATAGGTCCAAAGGAACGGGCCGCGCTGGATGAGAGATACCCAGTGGGGGCTCCCGGGTAAAGGCGTGTGCTGGGAGGGATTCCTTCCTAGAGCAGAGATGTTCGTCCTCACTGCAGGGTGCCTGGGGCTGGGCAAGCTAGGGTCCAAGGTCGGCAGCCAGAAGCCAGACCCCCTAAACCCCAGCTCGCCAACCTCAAGCAGCCTCCAGACAACCATTAGAAGGGGGAGGGTGGCGGCTAAGCAACAGCCGCGAACTTTCCTCCAGGCACTATGCCCCGCCCCCCGTCCTTGCTGTGTCACCGTGGAGACGCACTGCAAAGTGCGGCTGCGCAAGGGTGACGGCACGCGGGCTAAGGGGAGGGGGTGTTTTGGTTCTAGCCGCTCGCCGTCCTTTCCCGATTCGGTCGATTGAAAGCTTCTTGTTCCGGCCTTCCCTTCCCCAGCCCCGACTTTTCCCTCCCTTTTTCCCTGCTGTCAGTCTTCCCTCCTTCTGCCTACCACCCCGGGTCCGGGCCACTTTTAGGGCCGGGCGCACTACGGTGCGCGGCCCGGGGGCCCAGTATATGACCCGCCGTCCTGCTGCCGCTCGCTCCCCCCGCCCCATGTGGCTGCGGGGCCGCGGCGGCGCTGCCCACTATGGCCCGGAAAGCAGTTAGCAGGAAACGGAAAGCACCCGTCTCTCCGGGAGCTGGGAGCGACGCTCAGGGCCCGCAGGTGAGGGCTTAGATGCCGGGACTTGGGTGTTGATACCATGTCATCAGGAAGGGGCTAGGGTCCGCAGATGAGGGAACTGGAGCGGGATCCAGGGTCTGTAGTTAGAGACACTGACAAGAGCGGGATCTGGCCCTTTTGGGTCAGGGATCGGCCCACAGTAGTTCATTGAAAAGCACGTAGGCCTCAAGAAAACTCGGAAATGGGGCCTCCGATTGAGACTGCAGCCGGGTGTGGGGCCTTGGAGGAATGGGAAACCAAAGTAGAAGGGAATTTGGAACAAAACCTCCAAGGAGATACAGAGTGGGAGAACGAAGTCCACCTTGCAGGGTCCTCGGGAAGCGGGGAGGATTTATATCTTACCGAGGAAAGACTCTGCCTATGGATACCCAATCCTTGAGTTTGGTCCATTTGGCACTTGGACTCCTAGAGGTAACTGCGATTTCCAGGTATCATGTCTTTACTGCCCCATTGGAGGGGAAGATCTTGTTGGACTCAAATTTGGGCTCTCATTTCCTGGGTCCTCCATCCCGTTTGTCTTGGATTTTTTCGAATTCTGCAACTGACTTGCGCGTGGACGCGGTGACAGGACAGCAGCCATTGAGTGAAGGGTTATCCCTGGATGACCTAGACCACAGTCTGGCTTGTGGGTTGTCCTTCTTACACTCCATGGGGACTGTAGGCTGAGAGGGAGGAGGGGGCTAGATAGAGGTGCAGCCCAGGTCGGTATGAAAACAACCCGGCCCCCTCCTTTCCTTTCCTATCAAGCACGGCTATGAGGGCTCTGAATCCTTCACTCCTAAAAGGTCTAGAAAATTTTTTGTCCTGTTCATTTCTTCTTCCATTCTCTTTGTAGCCTTTGTGATTCACACTGGTAAGTTTGGCTATGAACAACATCTTTTCAATATTGGAAGAGTTAAACTGGACTTTCTGGATTGAGATTCTTGTGTTATATTTCTTTGTGTGATTTCCCTACTATAATAGAATCTCTTGTTCTGAAGGAAGATAGCGAAAATCCTGATTTTTAATTTGCTTTTCACAGTTTGGCTGGGATCACTCACTTCAGAAAAGAAAAAGACTCCCTCCAGTGAAGAGGTCCTTAGTGTACTACCTGAAGAGCCGGGAAGTCAAGCTACAGAGTGAAACCAGCTACTCCCGGGTGTTACATGGTTATGCAGCACAGCAACTTCCCAGTCTCCTGAAAGAGAGAGAGTTTCACCTTGGGACCCTTAATAAAGTGTTTGCATCTCAGTGGCTGAATCATAGGCAAGTGGTGTGTGGTACGAAATGCAACACGGTAAGTATGTTGTCTGGGGAATATGAACTTTCTCTTAGGTCCTGCTTAGGTGACTTTCTGGGCTTGTTTCCTCCCATCTTTGTGGAGGAGATTGACTTTCTGTTGATGACCTCTTCCTCTCTTTGTTTGCACCTTTTCCCACTCTTATATTTCTTTTTCAACAATGCTTCAGAGGAATCTATTTCTTTAGTACTCTTAATAACATCTTACTGTACTGCTGCTTTTAGACTTAAGTGTTTTTCCCCACCTGTTTTTACTTTGTTCATACCACTTCTAGAGATTTTTTTTTTTTGGCCTTTAATGTTGCTTTCTAAGAGACTTCTGAGGAACAACCTAAGCTTTTATGGCATCATTTAGGATGCATGATAATGACATCTATCATTTTGCCAGCCTAAGGATCAAATGTTTTAAAAATATTTGCGTATTTAAAATACTATGTAATAATATGCCATAAACACTATGACATATTTAAAGTACTTCTTAAAAGAGCAATACTGCAAATCTTTGGAAAAGTTTTTTATTAGTTTTTTTTAAGGTGAAATTCACATAATAAAAATGAAAAGTGAACAGTTCATTAACATTTGTTCGTTCTCAGTGTTGTACAACACTACCATGTAGCCCCCAAAACATTTTCATAGCTTCAGAAGAAAACCCCTAGCCCATTAAGCAGTTCCTATTCCTCACATCATCAGTCCCAGTTGTTAAGTGCCATCAAGTCAGTTCTGACTCATAGTGACACTATATAGGATTTTCAGAGAGCGACTGGTAGGTGTGAACTGCTGATCGCGTGGTTAATAGTCGTCCTACAGTGCCACACCAAGACTCCCGCAGCCCTTGGCAACCACCATTCTTTGCGGTATTTCTATGGAGTTTTCTAATCTGATCATTTTATGTAAGTGTAATATCATGTACAATATGTAGTCTTTGATGACCAACTTGTTTCACTTAACATAAAATTTTCAGGTTCATCCATCTTGTAGCATGTACCAGTACTTCCTTGTTTTAGCTGAGTAATAATTCCACTGTACATATACCATGATTGGGGCACAATTCAGAAAGAATCATGAGAAAAGATTGGGTCTAGGCCCAACTCTCTCCATTTTCACTCCAACTTATGTAAGTGGACAAGTGATGTGCTCATAAAGGCCAAGTAGATTGAACCTGAACAGAGAAGCATCTTGAATCAATTGGAAGAGGAACCATTTTTCTAGCATAAGTAAGTGTTAACTACTGTAGAAGTGTGTGTTTGTAAAGGATGTAGGCAAAGATGTAAACATGAATTTTAAGGAAGGAAATAATGCCATGGTGGTTGGGGCCAAGCTTTTATTTCCTCTTCTGTTGAAGATTGATTGTCTCATACAGAAGCCTTTCAAAACTAAATAGAGGTGAAAGTCTCCACAAAACTTTTTTCCCAAGATTTTCTGGCCACTTAATTATGGCATAAGAGAGGTGACATTCATTGTCTCTGGGAGTAGAAAAAGTCTCATCTTTGGAAAAGTTTGTTCCACTCCCTACATAAGCTGTCAAAGTATCTTGTACATAGCAGTTGCACAGTGAATATTGCTGATTTGCAAACTGAATTATCATCATAGTTTCCTGCTTCTTGAATGTATTGCCACCATTTTGAAGGCTAGCACATTAACGGTTTAACTTCCTCTTGAATACTTGCCTCTTTCCATCTTCCTTATGATCTAAAGTGTTTTTTTATAGTTAGTGCTTTTTTGTTTGTGTTTTTATTTTTAGCTTCAGGAACCAAAGCAGAGCAACAGGAACCACTGCTCTTCTCTGGGTTTTGTGACATTTGGCAAATGGTTTCCTTATCTGTACCTTTGCTTTGCCATATGTAAAATAGAGATGTTAACATTCAGTGCTGAGAAGGTACATCTGGAAAATATTTCAAATTGGCAGCAGTATGTTACTTATTCAGAAATACTATTAGTGTGAAAGGGAGTCCAAAGCCTTTTCCAGTGCCCTTGACGCTCCCTAGGACATTGCTTAGTTTAAAAACAAGGAAAGTTATTTAAACCTTTAAAATTGTCTTTGGATAATACAAGCAGATCACAAGCCAGGGAGAGGGGAATTTATATGGATTTTTAGTTTTGATTGAAATTTTACCATTAATGAAATCCTACTGAAACATATTCAGTGTGATAAGTATGCCTGTACCACTCATATTCGAAAATAACCTATTATTAGAAATGGTTTCTCCCTTGGCTGACCATGAGGCAGTTTTCACTGGTAGTAGATCAGAATATTCATCAGCATTTTACTCAGTGCACAAATGATAAGTTACAAAAATGTCAGGCTTGTATCTGCAACCTCTGAGGAGGCAGTGGGTCTACCTATGTGAATTTCCATTTGCTATGGGCTAACAAAGGTGACCTGGTGGCACAGTGGGTTAAATGTTGGGTAACTAACTCAAGGTTGGCAGTTTACTCCCATCAACTGCTCCATGGTGGAAAGATGAAGCTGTCTGCTCCTGTAAAGATTTACAGTTTCAGAAAACCTGAAGAAGCAGTGGATTTGTTTTGTTTGTTTGTTTTTGGTGAGCTAACACTCCAACTATGGGAAGTCATTCACTCTCCCCTTAATTCCCTGAGCCTAGTGAGCACAGTAATAATAACAAAGATAGCCAAGCTAGGTTTTCTTCATTTATAATAATAACCGTTTAAACAATTATTTTGTTATTGTAAAATTACAATACTGCATTTGGATGTGGTCAGTTTTTTCACTAACTTATTAGAAGCTGATGTTTTGTTGTTGTTGTTGTTTGCTGTCAAGTCAGTTAGTTCCTACTCATAGTGCCCCTGTATAAGGTTTCCGAGGAGTGTCTGGTGAATTTGAACCACCAACCTCGCAGTTCAATCCAACCTTGAGGTCGAGTACTTACCCTGCTGTACCACACCAGAAGTCAAGGTTTGTTGTTGTTGTTAAGTACCGTGGAGTCAGTTCCAACTCATAGTGACCCTGCACAGGGTTTCCGAGGCTGTAAATCTTTACAGGAGCAGAACACCTCATCTATCTCCCACGGAACTGCTGGTAGTTTTGAACTGCCGACCTTGAGGCTAGCAGCCCGATTCGTAACCACTACGCTACCAGAGCTCCTTGGTGGTACCATCTAAACTGAAACATGGGTCTGTGGTTCGAATGGCTAGGTGTATTTTCCTGGTTTAGAGACAACCTCAGATTGCCTTTAGAGCCAGGCAGAAAAGTGAAATGAAGGAGGGGAGCTTGCTAGGAGGCTGTAGACAGTAAGGAGCAGTAAGAGCTCTAAAGAACCATAAGGCCATCTTGACTCCAGCCAGCTGTTGTCATGTCGGAATTTGTGCCTAGTGTTAACAAATTGTCTGTTTAAAGAAAAGCTGGAAATCTGGATTTTTTAGGGCAAAAGTGTTGACCATTTATGTGAAATATTGAGAATAAATGTGATAAGAGGTCTGCAAGAGGGTTGTGAAATTAAGCAAAGGTTGATGAAGATCAAATTGTGGAAGTTCTTGAACATAAAGCTGAGATTCTGTTCTGTTGAAAATGGAGCGATAATAACCCAAAGACTTTAAGCAGGGAGTGGTGAAAATGATGCTTTAGGGAAAGCTGGCATAGAAGGCTGGTGATGTGGTACAGCTGAGAAGTCATGATCAACTGGGAGAGTGACAGTGCAGAGGGTGAGGAGACAGATATTACAGGCATCTTAGAGGTAAAATCTGCAGAGAATATGTTCGGGTTTAACATACTGGAAAGGATTAAGTCAAAATTGATTATGATATCTTAAATTTGACTAACTGGAAGGCTGACAGGAAGAATATTAAAAAGTAATTTGAAGAGAAAATTGTTTTCATTTTGTGCTTCCCATCAATTAGTTTGGAAGAGGGGAAGCATTGAAGTTAAGGGTTTGAGAGTCATTATGTAGAAGGGACTATTGAAGTTGTTATAGTACCATAGGAGTGAAGGATGAGCAGGTACTATTAACTTGAAGTTTATAAACCTTTTGTAAAATTACAAACATTGGATTGTGTATTTTTTTGGTGGATAGGATTGAGGGGTAGGTGTAGGAAACAGTCCCTAGTTTTTAAAGTGAACTGTGAACCACTGATGATGAGAAACAGCCTAAGGACCAGAACTCTTAGAGAATACTTTTATGGGTCACAGTGAGCAATGAGGTCAGGTATTTCACGAGAGTAAAGAAAACAAGAAGGGGGAGTGTTTGAAGGGGTTGGTGGTTTGAGAAGCTAGGTAGTGTCCAATGTAGTTTGAGTTATTTAATAATAGACATGATCTCTTTATTTCCAATTGTCAAGTCCCTCTGGGCAAAGACTACTAGGAACTCATCTGTAGTAGAAAAAGTTGGCTTTAAATTGCTCCTTTCAGCTTAAAGGAACCTACACTATACTTTGTACATACCATCAGCAGGGACCAGTCCCTAAAGAAGGACATTGTGCATAGAATCCTGGACAGTCAGCAAAAAAGAAGAATCTCAAGGAGATGGATTGCCACAGTGGCAGCAGCAGTGTGCTCAAATGTAACAATTGTGAGGATCATGCAGAGCCGGGTAGTATTTTGTTTTGTTGTGCATAGAGTTAACTGTGAGTTGAAACTGATTTGATAGCACCTTACAATCAACCACCATGATAGGGAACCATGGGGCTACTTATACTTAGTAAGGGGATATTATGAAGAACTTAGAAAATTTGGGTTGTTAATTGATTTGGGGGAAAGCTTAAGGAAGCAAGGCTTGCTCTTGTTTGGATACTGTCAAGAAATAGGGGGAAGTTCTATATTTGGATATCTTAACTAGAAGAGAAGAAGACAACAGGGAGGCTAAAACTAATTGATAAAGATGAAGCAGTCACTAACAGGAGCCAGGATAAGGGGATGTGTGATCTCTTTGTGACCAGTGTCCTTGTTTTTGTGTGTGCTCAGATATGATTAGAGAGTGGCCTTGTTTTTGTCTTGTCACAGTCACAGAGTGACCTTGTATGATGTTGCTCTTAGTACTAATAGTA